AATTTTTATTTTGCAGTAATAAGATTAATATTTTATTTCTTAACAAATTTAGTATCAATATTAACTCATTTCTGTCGTTTTTCGTGCCAAAAATGGTAAAATAATGGATGTCGTAAAAATTACGACACGGGCGTGCACGTGTAAAATTGCCAAGTGCGCGTGCTGGAAGGTTAAATAAGTTGTCACCATTAGCTTTCGTAAACAGTTATAGGTATTTAAATGTTTTGGAAGTATTACTTTTGATAGGCTTTCTCTTATTATTTATACAAGAATGTCTGCAGTTAAATGTTACTGTATGTTTTATTCTGATTGACTTCCATAGTCACAAACAAATAAATTTTCATAAAACTGGAGTAAAATTGTAGTAAAGCTGGAATAAGCTGGAGTAAAAAGCGCATCTGTTTTTAAATACTTAGTCTGATGCTTCTTAAATTTTTGTAATACTTTGTAAAGAAAGAAAGAGCAGCAGCAAGCAATAAATGGAGAAGAAATATCAAGATTATACTTCAAAAGTTAGGTTAAAATCGATAATGTTTAGGTTTTAGGTTAACCTTTCTCGCCATTTGACTCATCAAAGTTGTAGTTCGCAAATTTGAATGTTATTATTGTATTAAGCGTTATGCAAGGAACAGTATCATTAGTGTTACTTAAGGGGACTCATACACCTTAAAACCCAGAAGATTTTCGAATATGTGTGTCATATAATCGAATCCTTTGATCAATTCATCTTTGTCGGTTCGTTTCTATCCACTTATGAATGTTATTAGTCAACTCTATTTGCAGGAAATAAACTGGGACACTTATGCAGGTTTAACAATAACATGAGCTATATTTTAATTTTGTAAATACAGTTTAACTTTTCATAAAGTATTGCTTTTATTGACATTTACATCAAACGCACAAGTAATACATTGCATCTCTCAGCTCTTAACAAAAAAAGAAAAAGACAAACTCTACTATCGGAATACAGCCAAACTAATTTCAAATTTTTTCTCACGAGCATGCCGTTCTTCTCGCATCAAGCGCGTTTCTTCTTCTCGTTGCCAGATTTTCCCCTCTCCTTTCAGATAAACTGTTTTTTTCACACGAGCATGCCGTCCTTCTCGCATCAAGCACGCTTCTTCTTTTCGTTGCAGATTTTCTTCTCTCTCCTTTCAGCTATAAGTCGTTGGCTTTCAGCTATAAATCTGTTCTTCCGGCAGGTTTGGTCGGTAGCATAGAGTATGTGCATGACAATGTGACTGTTGCAAGAATTGGGATAACTTATTTATTTTAAACGCAATTACTTCCAACAGTTACACAACAGTTTTAAACGCAATTACTTTTACAGTTGACTCCATAGTATAGCTGCTTTCTGAAATAGTAATCAGAAAGTTTGTGTTGCCACAAATATTTTTATAATTTAATCCTGTTTGTGACAAAATGTTTCGTCAAGTTTCCACCTTGCGCGCACAGTTTAAAACATTCTGTTGCGTAACTTAATTCCGTATATAATATATAGCTTTTATAACATTTGGAAACTACTGTGAACCAAAATTCTAATAATTTCCTGTTAAATTTTTATTTTATTTGGAGTTGAGTTTATAAAATGTAATTTTTAACAAAATCTGTATGTTTTCGTGCATACAATTTTTTAATATCAAAATATTTATCAGGTTTTTGGTTCAGTTAGAAGACAGTGCCCATATAAAGAATTCCATCAAATTCCAACTATGTACCATTAGCCATTTTTAAAATATCATGCGCGCCAGGTGGAAACATGACGAAAACTTTTGTCACAAAAGGGATTAAATTAAAAAAATATTTGTGGCAACACAAAATTACTGGCTACTAGTTACCGAAGCAGCTATATTATGTAGTCAGCTGTAAAATGAAGTAATTGCTTTTAAAATAAATAAAATATCCCAATTCTTGCAGCAGTAACATATTCGAAGCTCATAAGGAGTTTAAGGTGTATGGGCCCCGTTAAGAAACGTGAAACGAATTAATTTTGAAGTTATTAGCATTTAGAGAGGTTTATAATAAATATGTTACTATTTTTATTTTACTATATGAATATGTTGTCATCTGGTTGTTGAGAGGATGTTTGCCATTTGGATATTGTAGTATATGAGGATATGTAGTGTATGAGGTCAATACCCACTCACTTATGGCAGGCAAGTACTGAGTGTAATCTCCCCTTAGATCTACCTATCTACATACTAGACCTCTTGATTTCCTTGTACGGTCTTTTAAATTATACACACTTGTTACTGCTCTTTAGTTAAACTTATATTCTATCTTAATTACCGATTCCTCGAATGAAATTGAAAATGACGTCAAAAACTGAAAATTTTGAAAATAAACATTCCCCCTCAAGTTCTGTTGTAGACTCTATTAGATTTCGCTCTTCTTCGAAAAATATTTTTTTCTAAATTTAAGATCGCCAAAGCACGAGTATTTTCGTTAAATATAATCATGTCTAGAATTTCCGCGCATTAAGCTGTTGAAAGATTATCAGCAAAGACATAAAGTAAGAAATTTAGACCTAGTTTTTTTAAAGACCAATTCAAAAAATCAATAAAATTTAAAGAAAGAAGAACATAATAGAAGAGGAATTCAATCAACCTCAGTGCAACTTTGTCAGAAAGAGGAACACTGAAAACATTTGAAATCTCTCTTCCCCAAAAATCCTTGCTTTTCTGTGTTTAGAATTAGCCAATGAACCACTTCAATGCATTTTAATTATAATAGTTCACCCGAAAATTCTGGCCTCTTCCCAAAGCAAGGGAAAAAACAAATTCAAATTAATGTTTTGAATAAAAGAAAGAAAGGATTTTTGTGGAAGAGAGATTTCAATTGATTTCAGTGTTTCTCCTCTTGACGAAGTGGCATTAAGGTTGATTCATTTCCTCTACTGTTAGGTTCCTTTTTCCTTAAGGGAACTCATATACCTTAAAACCCATAAGATGTTCGAATAGGTGATTGTTGCAAGAATTGGGATATTTTACTTATTTTACAAGCAATTACTACCAATATTTTACAGCTGACTACATAATATAGCTGCTTTCTGAAATAGTCATCAGAAAGTTTGTGTTGCCACAAATAATTTTATAATTTAATCCGCTTTGTGACAACATTTTTCGTCAGATTTCCACCTTGCGCGCACAGCTTAAAACATTCTATTTCATAATTTAATTCCATATTTAATATATAGCTTTTATAACATTTGGAAACGACTGTGAACCTAAAATTCTAAAAATTTCATGTTGAACTTTTATTTTATTTTGAGTTGAGTTTATAAAATGTATTTTATTAACAAAATTTGTAATGTTTTCGTCCATAAAATTTTTCAGTATTAAAATATTCGTCAGATTGTTGGATCAGTTAGAAAATAGTGCCTATATAAAGAATTCCATCAAATTTCAAGTGTGTACCATTAGCCATTTTTAAAATATCATGCGCGCAAGGTGAAAACATGACGAAATATTGTCACAAAGAGGATTATATTACAAAAATATTTGTGGCAACACAAACTTTCTGGTTACTAGTTTCCAAAGCAGCTATATTATGTAGTCAGCTGTAAAAGGTTGGAAGTAATTTCTTTTAAAATAAATAAAATATCCCAATTCTTGCAACAGTCACATATTCGAAGATCCTGAGGGGTTTAAGGTGTATGAGACCCCTTAAGTGTTTATACCCTCAGTACTGCAGTTCTCAGTACTGCAGTACTTAAATTTCGTTTATTTTTTGAATTGGGGTATTGCTTGTATGAAGTGTTTTGGTTTTAACATTTATTGAATTCTTTTTTCCATTTATAAGATTATTTGAAATTTATTATTTATGAATTTCAATTTTTGGTGTTTGTGAAAAGTTGGTTCTAAATTCCTTACTTTTATATATACATATATAACAGTATGCAGTTGGCAATTACATATATAATGTGTGTATACGTTTGATATCGCCGATAGCAATCAAAGAGGAAGGTGCACAACTAGATGTCATAGTAGTATCATATAAGAAAATTTCAATGTTCTATGGGTAATCGTTTGAGTTAATCGAGATACCGGCATATACATGACTGCGTACAGACGTCAAGAAGAAATTCATTTTGAATACTTTTAAATCCATTTTACAATCCCTTTTGTAAAGAAGAGACTTTTATTCTGTCGATACGTACATACATCACGCAAAAAAAAAACGCCCAGATTAATTTGAGAATGGTCAAAATGGATATTCCTATTGAAATCTGGTGTCCAGAATCTTTCTGGATTACAATATTTTCTTTACTTCGTGCAAGGAAGTAAAAAGGGAAATAATTAAACTGGATATGAGACTTAAGGAGGCTACTCCAAATTAAAGTTAGAATTTTGATTTAACTTTTTTTTTATCTTACACAAACACATGCATCTATTTATACGTACATTACCTGAATATCTGTTTATTGTTGTTGTTGTCAGCCATAGAAATAAGTTATTTTATCTTTACGTTGTAGAGTCATTAGGATTTCTTGAACAGGAAACGTGAAAAATATGCGATATGCTCGCCCCGACTCGAACCTAGACCTCTCGAATGCGCACCTAGTATGCTAACTGTTACACCACGAAGGAATTCAGGAAGGACGAAGAAAACAGACCTTTTAAAGAGCGATTGAGGATTAGGGGACCCAGTCGCCAAGTCCTGATTGTGGAGAATCATCATCCACCGTATTTTCTTTCAGACGCCAGCCACTGTAAATTTATTTGGTTATTTTTAAGTAGGAAATGTGAAATATAAACAATGCCCTCGCCGGAACTCGAACTTGGACCCCTCGAATACGCGCCGGTGTGCCAAACCGTTACATCACGAAGGCATGCAGGAAGGAGGGAGAAAATACCTTGTAACGTTATTAAATTATACGTTATGTTTTTATATTATGAACGCATTGTTTTTTATACTAGTGTTAAAATTATTTTCTGTGTCTTTATATTATTAATATATCATTTGTGTCATAATTGTTGTATTTTTTCCTTTTTTTCTAGATTGTGCCTCCATTTTTCATCGGGAACGAGTAGTTTCGTATCGTCTGCTCTCTTTGCCGTCCACCCCGTTCACACAGAGGCCGTAGGTAGCTATGCAGTTATACAAAACCTTGCAGCATTCCATGTAGTCGTTTAACGAAATTTCCAAATTAGTAACAATTTTATTTGGCGAAAAACGTAGCATATTCTTTAGAGCTAGTCCAGGAATACTAGTTGAAATATGCATCCTATACAATGTTATTTAAAATCAGTGAACCAGTTTCAAAGTTCCGTTTAATACTTCTCAAGCATTTTCACGAAATAAGTCAGTGATCATGTGAAAGAGTAGTTTCTAAGTTTTATTCTAGTTGCCAGTAGAGCGCTCTATCACGCCGCTGATGCATCATTCCCCCTCAAAGCTCAGTTACTTGTTTACGCTTGGAATTTTCACATTTGAGCTTGCCACCCAACCGTGATAGTTGAATACCCTTGGACCCGTCCTTCCCGGGGTGTTGTCCACCAAAATTTGGGGTGGAACTGAGCTAAATCTCACTGTCACCAGTAAGGTGCTCAAGGCTGTTGACAACGACAGGCGTATCTTGCGCTCCTTGCCACGTGGTATCTCGTGGGCTTGTTCTGATCTTACTGTCAGACAAGTGAGATAAGACACAAGACAACAACACGCATTTGAGTTCAAAGGCTTATGCGTTGTCGAGCTTGAAAAACTGGTCACGTTCCATGGTACAACGGACATTTTAAAAGCGACTTAACCGCAAGCACTTCAACAAATCACTAGATCATTCGGTAGTTGTTTAAACAGTTGCAAGACAGTGGCGTCCAGTTGAAAGAACAAACCTTTAGCACTCACGAATTTCCACATCGCCTCAAAATTCTCCTCATTGAAAACGGTGGAGACGCTAAACACTTCCAGGACAGGAAATAAAGACTCAATTAAACACAATTGTCTGGTTAATACGTTGAGCGCCACAACTATTTCTTAAGCAATTCCGTTCAGGCCACGCTCTCTTCTTAAAAGCGCTGGTATTGTAGGGTCAGTGATTCTTATCGCAGCAGAAAATAGTTTACGTTCGGAACGGGATTCCTATAGGCATTCATTCATTCAACATATTACGCGTCAAGTCTGTTTTGTAAATACATTCTATACAAAGATATTACGAAGCAGAAGATTAGCATTACTGAATTCCGGAAAGAATTATCGCTATCCCTTACAAGTTGTGAAAAAGAAGACATTCCATCGAACAGAAATGCAAGAATATCTTAAAAACGACAATTTAAACTCCAAAGAACACCGGGAAAACCCTCTGAAGTACGGAAATATTGTAAATTATGTTATGATAATGCAACAGAAGCTGGTAGAGTAATGGGCAGAAAAAAGACTAAGAGAGCTGTCACATTTTGTAATAGCTGTAAGAGAACCGTTTTTATGTTTATCGTGTTGCAGTGAAATCCATTAGTCCTGTAATGAATCAAAATTATGTAAATTTTAAATAAATTTTCTGTAATTCCATAAAATAGAGTAAATTTTATAGTTACATATCATGTTACACGCTATCAGCCAGCAGCGGTAGACGTGGCCTAAACGGAAAGTCTAGTGTCAGCCGCAGATGGCTGACGCGGCCTAAGCTGAAAATCTAGTATCAGCCACCGATGGCTGACGTGGCGGTCAACGTGTTAATAGTTTGAAGTTTTTTTCCTTAATAAAATTCAGCTCCATGAAATTGGTTCATTCTTTTTGAATAATCTTGTAGTGGTATAGCTTCCTAAGAAAATTTAAGCGTACGTTTTAAGAATGGGATTATATTTTTATCCTTTGTCAGAAAAGTTCCAGGACAATATTTTGTTTCTATTTCTGAGGTTGCAGTAGTGAAACAGAAAACATATTGGTTTTATGCTAACCTGGTATGTATTCTTACTTGACATGACCCTGGCCATGTTTCCAAGTAAACTTACTAGGTGACAGGACTGAGCTTAACAACACACTGTTCAGATTGTTGTCAGTTTCGTTAAGGTGGCACAATGGATGCTGATTGTAAGCAAAGAGTGTACATGAAGTTCTGCATTAAGCTCCGGAGAACCCTTAGTGAAACGTGGAACATGATTAAGGACGCATTTGCAAGCGAGGCACTTTCAAGAAGTCGTATTTTCGAGTGGTACAAAAGGTTTCGTGCAGGTAGAGATTCAGTGCAAGACGATCCCAGAGCTGGTCATCCATCCGTAGATTATAACGATGCAAACGTGGAGCGTGTAAGGCAGTTATTGCAAGACGACCGTCGTGTAACTATATATGTATGATATATCAGAAGAACTGAATTTGAATTGTGATGTGTCCCTCGCTCACTGACAGATGAACAGAAGACGAAGAATTTTTTCTGATTTATCGGATAGAGCCAGGCGTGATCCCACATCAAAGATAATTGCGAGTTTTTCTTGTTTCCGTGAGTGAAAAGGTAACTGAAGAGAAAGCTTCGTCAAGATTATTGCGGACATCCAACGGGCTGTGACAAATGAGCTTGCGAGCATCGCAGTCGAAAACTTCCCTTCTTGCTTCCAAAACCTCGAGAAACGTTATCAGTTGTGTATAGATGTCCAAGGGGACTATTTTAATAGCAGCTATGATCATTACTTGGTAAATGCAATTTTCTATTTTTTTACGAACTTTGTCCTGGAACGTTTCTGGTATTCTGGTGCCTAAAGTATTTTCATTAATCAAATTATAGAAGTATTTTTTTAAATACTTTTTTTATTTGTTTACCATATAAAGTGTTCCCTAATGCTTTTTATTGGATTGGTCCATTAAACTTGATCATAAACTGGAATTTGACATTGAATGCTGTTTTTAAAATATTTGATTTAATTAAATTTCATATTTTTCAAGAAGGAGTAGTTTTTAAATTGGTGTACATATTTAAAAAACAAGACTTTAAATGCGATGTATTAATATTTATGTTCATAATTAATATCTCTTAAATTCTGTAGATTTAAAAAAAATCAGAAACCAAGATTGTTAGCAGCCTTTTTGGAATGTCTTACTGTTCCAGTTCGTAATAAGGAAAAATTTAAATAATATTGCTAACTTTTTGTAACGATATTTTGAGCTTCTTTTAATCTAAGTAAACTGTGTATTTATATGCAAACATTAACGATAATAATAGCTTTAGAGGTATTGAATTTATAATAGCTACGAAATTTGCATTTACATTTTCTAACAAAATTGAAATAAACTAATAAAAGATCGTGAAAGTAATATAAGAATAAACTTCATAAGATCCTACTTATATTTAAAATGACCACAATACCATATGTTTGTAATGGAAGGAGAATTCCAATTCGCGCTATTATTAATAATAGCAGCATATCCATGGATGCCAACTCTCACTTTCAAATGTCACTATATACACCTGCAAAAGTACTTAAAAGTCGCTAAATTCAGAAGGAATTTCGCTAAAAGTAGTAGCTAAAATTAATATATATATATATGTGATGTACCAGCTTTTGTCCGGAATAAATAGAATGTTGAAGAATCATAAATGTAGTCGTAGCTTAAATTATCAGATGATAAGTTTAAAAAACAGAATCCATTTATTATTGGTCAGAAGAAATAGCAGTTACAAAATCATATTTCCGGAGTAAATAAAAAGGAATTTCTAATAACTTTTCGTATGAAGTTAACTGCATCGTTATATTTAAGAAAAAGCCCCCGATATTCCTTTGCGAGTCCTTTTATAGCCTCTGGAAAGGCGGAGCTTCCAAGAAATGACGTCAGCCTCGTCAGCCAATCCAGTTCGCTATAAATATTTCTATAACCATTCTATAATTGTACGTGTAGAAAAGGCGGGAAAAACAACTTGACTACAGGGCAGTGGATTTAATTCCACGTACTTTCAAATAAGAGAACGTCGCCATTAAAAATGAAAAGAACAGTTAGAATTTCAAGTATATTCTTGACTATGGAATTTTATTATTACATATATATAATCCATAGAGTTTGGTTACTCGTCATTTTTTAAACTGAATCTTCATGAAAACATAAATAATGTCCCAAGTTTTCTGCGGACCATCAAAACATTTTCGCGGTCCACCAGTGGTCCGTGGACCATCGGTTGGCGACCGCTGTTGTATAGAGAGGGATGTGGGAAATTCATTTTTCCTGTGGATCCAGGCAGGAAGGTTTGCAATGTCAAGTTTCAACACAGAATTTTATTCGGTATTTTTATCCTCGATCTTTTATATTCGAAGTAATTCATTTATGTTTTCTTTCGTGGAAAACAACATTTCTAATTCTTCCTTGCTCAGAGAGGAATTATCCAATTTAAGATTACAGACAATCGTTGTGTCCCACAGCCATATCTGGTTGTTACTCTGATATTTACGAAGAAAATCTATAATATTAAACGCAGGAAATTCTTCTGAATTTTAAATTAAAAAAAAGAAATGAAACCGAGTAAGAGAAATAAGTATATATGTCAGAATATTAGAAAACGATTACAGTACAAAAGGAGATAAATTGTTCCCCACAAGAACTTATAGTCAATAACTATACCGAGTAAACTGTTGCAAACGACATCTAAATGGTTCTTTGGCCGACTATTATTTTCGAACTGTTATAGATTAGATATGTGCAGTAATTGCTCGTTTTAGGTTTCTTCCTTTGGAGTTGCCATCTCATCGATCAAATCACACATACGCCCTCATAGCTAAGCTTAAGAGGGTACTTAAGGACATCGTCACGTGGCCCACTAACGTCATTCACGTATATTTGCTTGAACTCTCGTTATCGCAGTCTCAGCTATTTGGGAGATAGATAGCAGATAGAGGTATTCTTCCTATTACGCGTAAAATCCCCATCGTCATTGCTTTTTTAGGCTTACTTTGCACTATGAATGCTTGAAAGAACTTGTATCTTGCTTTTGTATTGAAGTCGTTAATCTTTGGTAATTTCTGCCGCTTCGTATCATTTTGGCAAGGGTTATAATGGCGGAAAATGGCTGTTTTCACGTAATCGGGAGTTTATGTTCTCATACCGTAACCGCCTGTCTGATGTAGTCAAAGTTCGAATTTTGCTAAGTTTCTGTTAACTGCTTTTCTATTCTAGTGTGTTTTGTTATTTTTGTATGGTTCGTTTGGTAGGTTCCTATTTGAGAATACAAACGCGAATATTTTCACTTATGAGTTGATTTTTAATAGAAATGCGTAAATGTAATTTTTAGAATTCTCTTTAATAATGACTGGTGATTTAATCATGAAAGATTTTGAAATTTTCGTCTTGGTTTATGCAGTTTCTGTACCACTTCACAAAATTAAAAAATAAATAAATAAATAAATAAAAGTAAATAAAAAGTCTGAAAGCTTTCAGATTTTATATTACGTCTAAAAGGGCGTTTTTTTTAATGTTTTGTGTCACTTTTATTGATTAAGTATCATGTTCTTCGTACTTAAAATACATAAAAATTCAACAGCAGTATCACAAAATATTTAAAAATAGCATATCTTTAGAATTTCCGATACGCAGCCTCGCAAGCTGGAGTTTTTGACAGGGTTGCCATTACTCGCTTTGAAATCGTTGAGTTTGTTAATCAAAAACTCGTTAAAGTTTCACTAAAATTTAGGTAGATGATAAAACAAATTTGAAATTCAAAATTCGTCCTTCCAAGCGCCCATATTCGATATGTTATCTAAATTTTGATGGCTCTAGATACCGTTATTTCTTCACAATGCGGAGAAAATTTATGCAGATTCTTCATTGCTTAGTTTCTTATATAATATGTGGCGATAATATTTAAAAGGAATTGACGCAATATGCCGTTTTGAAATTAATAACCCTTCTAGGCTATCGCCCTTTGGGACAAAGAAAAAAAATAGGCAGAAGTACCTATTTTGAAATTCGGCGCTCTTGTTTTAAGCGATAATAACGCCAGAATTTGTTTTTGCACTTTGTTAAAACCATTTCAAAGAATGAACGATGCGCCATTTTGTTCCGCTCGTGTACAGTAAAAGGGAAAGGAAAATAATATACTATAAATTAAGAATTTCTCCTAGTGAATTATTCTTGGCGCAGACTGAAAAATGTGCTCCAAGATATATTTTTAAATTTCTCCGTAAGTTTCTGCGCAAATTTTACACAATTTAATATTTAGGCATAATTTGAGTCGTAAAATCGAAATATGGGATCAAATCGGTATATCATTTCAGAAAAGATCAGGTTTTTTGCCAAAATACACATGTTAAGAGAATGCTACATACAAAACAAATATATATATCCTAAGTAGTGCTTTCAAAACATGAAAAACGCAAATTAAATTTCGTCAATCGGCCTAATAGAACGAAGGTCATAAAACTATTCTCCCTTTTTTTTTTCAGAGTGTACTTAAATGAAATATTCCGAAGTTACTTCATGATATTTTAACAGAACAATGAATGGTTAATCGCTTCGTGATATGATTTATGAATGTACAACACAAAGGAATTCTTTACTCAAAGAATGGGTTCGCAGATGAAAATATAACGTATAATGAAAGCTTTCTATTCCGTCCGTAATAATTATATTTCTTAAATTTCATGTTAATAGCATAGGAAATATTCTGTAACTGAATTCCACACGTAAGCACTTAACAATAGTACAAAGAGCTAGATATTCTGGAAGGTTTTCATTATTCAAAGTTTTGAAAGAACATTGAAAGCAAAATTTGAAGTATTTTTTTAAATACGTCCGTTTAAAATTACGCAGTTAGTATATTATACTGCGTGAGGATTTAAGTGACAAGCTCTTCGATTTTGATACAAAAGAAGAGAAACGATTCATTATTACATATTTTTAATACCTACCAATGATACGACAAAAAGTTTCTTTGTCTTTTAGAGAAGATAGCTGAATCTTCAATATTAATATATGTGAATTAAAGCCTAAGCCTTGGAAACAATCGAAAGCAACGAATAGCAGCTGTAGAAATCTTGTTACGAACAATAAATACATTATTTACTTTAAGGGAATGCGTTAAGTCAAGAATATTGTATCAATGTACTATTATTTATTGCATTTTGAGGAACGACAGTTGGATAACAGCAGTAAATATCTGTTGTTGTTATTTTCAGTTGTACGCTACATTTCATTTCAGTGATCTTTTTAATGTATTTTGGTAATTCTGTTTCCTTTAAAAGTATACTTCCTGACTTTCAAAGAGGAACTTTCTGTTTTTATTGAAATAGGTGAGCGGGGTGGTAGGTCGAGCTGAATTGTTGTCTGCTGCTGCCTTCCTCTGTGCCTTATTGTACTATCTACAAGCCAGATATCAACACAAAACAAGTGGTAAGTGCTTCTTTGTCTTGATAGTTTTGCTGTTCACTCAATATCAGTGTACGCTCATGTGAGTGGTAATTATTGCAGTATAAATATTCCCAAAAGAAAAATATACGACGCAAGAATGAAAAATAACGTACGCTTTTATTTCTAAAAATTTATCCGATAAGTGAATTTAATAAATACATATGTTACCGTGAAAGACCGAAATTGGAGAATGTCAACTTTCACCGGAGAATGTCAACATTCACCAAATACGCCGGTGAAAGATCGAATATTGCATTACATTCTTGTACATTCGGACCCAAACCGGTGTATATCGACAATCACAGATATGCTCTGGTGTAGGTCGAAAAGAAAGAGAGGAATATAAGTACACGCTGTTATTTCAAAAGAAAGTGTTCCACAAATAAATACAGTTGTAAAAGTAAGGGCCTCTTGTGCAATTCAAAGCGTCATAATAGTTTAAGTTGTTGCAATAATAAGATTTAAATCACATAATTTAGTAAGTTTAAAAACTTACTTAACTTACTTAATTTAGTAAGTTTAAAACTTACTTACTTAAGTTTTAAAACTTACTTTTTACCTTTAAAAACGTACTTAGAAGTTAAAACTTCTGTTATTTTCCTTTCTCATTTTGAATATACCGTGTGTTTTAAGTTCTTATGCTCTTAAGTTCTTATTTTAAGTCTCAAGTGCGTTTTTTCGCGACTGAATTACGGAGAAGAAAATGTAATATTCTTATATGTTCAACATTCGCCATTAGTGCATAGTGAATGTCGACATTTACCTGTGTAAGTCAGAAATAAGAATATTTGGAAAACATTTCGGACATACACCAAGAGACTATCTGAATGTTGACTTCACCGGTGAAAGTCGACATTCTCCAGATTTCGGTGTTTCACCGTAACATATATAAACAATAAAACTATATGTTTGTTATTCTTCAAGCATTAAAACTAAGTCAGGTTTTCCATTATGACGTCCGTTTTAGTATATATTTTGCATAAAATCAATTTACTGGGCTTACAGCTATTTGCAAACATTCGTTTGAATTTCTTCAGGAGAAATTCTATCACTGCAAGTCATCGCAAGTCTTATTATTACAACTTTCAGAAATCCACGTCGCCTGCCAGTAGCGTAGCGGTAAAGTCGCTGAACACTGGTAGCTCGGTTTGAATCGCACCAATGGGCTGGCTGCGTGGGAGTTTTCGTGGTTCACCGTGTGTGTAACGTGTATATGAGCAGAAAATTACGAGCAGTAGTAAAAATAAATTTTCAAACTGGGAAAGAATAAGTTTTCCATATATATAAGAAACACTACATTTAAAATTAATACGAATGATTATAATGCTTTGATTTTGTTTCACGTGTTTAAGTTGATTAAAAACTGAAATATTTCTATATATTTATTATTTTATTTATTACATTATTAGTTAATGAATAGTTTAAAGTATTTTGTATTAATAATGAAGCAGTGTACATATCAAATACATCTTAATGAATGAAAGTATTTGACTAAAATGATAGGTAAATAATAACAGAAAGCGTAGAGGTAAAGATTTTCAATCTCTGGGTATAAGGATCCTTTTATATTCAAATTACCTTAATTTCTGTTGCATAAATTTCAGAAGGTTGAACTCAGATGTTTAACTTTATTAACTTATATCCGTTAAATTGCATATATAAATAAATATTGTGAAACTGAATATTAAATGAATGAATGCAATGCAAGTGTTTAGAATTCTGAATAAATCACTCAGCTACTGTTGTTTAATTAAATATGATTCATTAGTTCAGATAAACATTCCTATAAATTAGCAGTGAGCCGTTTGCTAATCGCTGCATTCTAATTAAAAGTTCTTTGCCGTGAAAGACTGGGGATTCTCTTTATTAATACTTTTTAACGAGTACCGAGTTTATCTTTAAAAAATCTGATGTGTAAACCCCATGACTACATTTTACTGAAAATTAACCTTTTACACGCCAAACTATGATGCGAAAGTAAAATATACGTTTTATTGTGAAAAATCGATTTAAAACTCAAATATAAGAATTATGAAAAAATTTTAAAAAAATTAAAATTAATTTTTTAATTACTTCGATTAATTTTTTAATTACTTCGATTGCCGTGAATAGAGCACGGAGAAAGATTTTCCAAATGTGAATTCCCTTCAAACATTTCCATAAAGGTTTGGAAATTTGAAAGTTACTCACAGCTGCTAGAGAAAAGCACTTGACGTTTCTTGATAGGCTAGACGCTATAGGTTGTTTATGACTCAGTGAAAAAGGCGTATATTTTGGATTGTGGATTTCATTATTTTCCCTATTGTTTGCATTTTTCGTCAGTTGGTGAAGATACGCTACGCTGGATAAGATGTTTCTTTCAAAACCATATCAGACTAAAGAGGCACTGGAATATTTTTATACATTATCAGATGATGAAGAGTGTATTGACATTTGTCAACTGCCTCCAGAAGAAACTGGACGTTTAACAGAGGAGGAAGATGAAGACTGAGATATATTTTAGCCTGTTCTTCCAGTTGATGTACGTGGAAAAATCTAATAAAATAAATGATGATTAAATATCTCAAATTTAATTCGATCCTCAAGAATCTTCATCTTCAAAGGGAAGGAAGAATTTGAAGAAAACTAAAGGCACAATACAGCGCTGTAGAAACTATAGCATCCGATTATTCAACGCATGAACCTGTCAGTAAATCTAAGAGATTCTGCCGAGCCCAAAAAAAGCAAATTGATATTCCTCAGCCATATTGTACAAAAATGTACAATCATGGAATGGGAGGAGTTGGCTTGCTAGATAGACTTTTTGGATCATTTCGACGTATGTCAAGAAGCAAAAAATGATACTGGAATCTACTTAGCAATATATTAAACAGGGCGGTTGTGTCCAGGTGGATTTTACATTCACATTTGCACAAAGGTACAAAAGCCGAACTGCCACATCTCAATTTCAAGAGAAAAATAACATTATGTCATCTTCGCATGAAACCAAAAGTCCATTCATTCAGTTCCTGGCCAAACTATGATGCGAAAGTAAAATAAACGTTTTATTGTGAAAAATCGATTTTTCACACACGCCAAACTATGTTGCGAAAGTAAAATAAACGTTTTATTGTGAAAAATCGATTTAAAACTCAAATATAAGAATTATGAAAAAATTTTTAAAAATTTAAATAAATTTTTTAATGATATATAACATGTTCCATAAATGGAACATTGGCGGTAAACAGTTAGTTTTTTTACATGATTTTTGTAAAACATGATTATCGACATTCGAATTCGAAGCTTCATTTTGTCTGCACTTTTTCAGCATTAGCAAGTGAATTTGTCAACGTTATTCGGAAGTAACATAGATTAAGCAGAAAAATAGGGAGCCTACACCATTATAACCGCGAAGCTACTCCAACAAAATTTCATAGTAGAAGATATGAAACTTCCACAGAAAAAATCTTTCTTAATAAATTAAAACAAAAATTACATAGTTGATAAGCAAGAATTTATAAAAGAATTTTACATTAATTGTTAGCAGTTTATACTGAAACAAGGGAAAGAGTTGTAGAATAAAGAAGTAACAAATAATCTCCATACAAATATTCACCCTGCAGAAATCGTATGAATAAAATGTTAAATAATATAATTAAAAATAGAAACTTACCAAAATTTTTGTAACAAGAAATAAAAACAAAAAATAATAAGTGTTTTTATGGTTCTGAGTCTTTTTTCTATTTTCCATGATAGTTAGAAAAGCATTTTTGATGCAGTCTTACTCAAAACATTTGTTTTTAGTGTTCTTCTGGCATACAGCTCAACGTTCTTGTGTTGATGGCACAACATAATGTGAATCTGATTTTCTCAAAGATTCAGAGTTCCATGTGCACGAGGTCTAGGAACTGAATGGACTTTTGGTTTCATGCGAAGCAGACATAAAGTTACTTTTCTCTTGAAACTGAGATGTGACAGTTCGGCTTTTGTACCTTTGTGCAAATGTGAATGTAAAATCCACTTGGCCGTAACCGCCATGTTTAATACATTGATAAATAGATTCCAGTACCATTTTTTGCTTCTAAACATAGATCGATATGATCCAAAAAGTCTATCTAGCAAGCCAACTCCTCCCATTCCTTCATTGTACATTTTCATAAGATACGGCTGAGGAATATCAATTTGCTCTTTTTGGGCTCGGCAGAATCTCATAGGTTTACTGACAGGTTCATGCGTTGAATAATCGGATGCTATAGTTTCTACAGCACAGTATTGTGCCTTTAGTTTTCTTCAAATTCTTCCTTCCCTTTGAAGATGAAGGATCTTCTTGAGGATCGAATGAAATTTGAGATATTTCATCATCATTTATTTTATTAGATTTTTCCACGTACATCAACTGGCAGAAGAGCTAAAATATATCTTAATCTTCATATTCCTCCTCTGTCAAACGTCCAGTTTCTTCTGGAGGCAGTTGACAAATATCAATACACTCTTCATCATCTGATAATGTATAAAAATATTCCAATGCCTCTTTAGTCTGATATGGTTTTGAATCAAATATCTTATCCAGCGTAGCGTATCTTCACCAACTGACGAAAAATGCAAACAATAGGGAAAATAATGAAATCCACAATCCAAAATATACGCCTTTTTCACTGTGTCATAAACAACCTCTAGCGTCTAGCCTATCAAGAAACGTCAAGTGCTTTTCTCTAGCAGCTGTGAGTAACTCCAAACCCTTATGGAAATGTATGAAGGGAGTTCATATTTGGAAAATCCTTCTCCGTGCCTCTATTCACGGCAATCGAAGTAATTTCATCCTGTTAAAAAATATACCTTTACACGCCAATGTTCCCTTTCTGGAACATCCACATTTCTTACCTCATATTAAAAAATAATAATCATCTTTCTATGATAACTTATTCGTTCAGCGGTGGTTTTAAAGTCATAACAGGTTAAAGGTGAGCTTTGTTGCTAAGTGACCATACTTTTGCTACGTCACAAAGCTGCTTTAAGGACTCTTCTTGAAATTATAAATTTTCAGCTTTATGGCAAGTTTCTATAGACATTACCAATCACAGCGAAACAAACATCAGTCAATGGTTTCACTGTGTCAGCTACGCATTTACGTATGGCAACTTTCCCTTTCCTGGCTAGCTATGGCATAACACTGCTAAACACCTATAAATGGACTGAATAACTGTTATGCCTTGAGACACAAAGCTTTATGACGACAAAACCGTCATCTGGATGAATCCCATATAGGTGACACTACAACATTCCGCAGCTTCTTCTCCAATTTTAACCGAGAGCAGCCTGAAAGACGCTCCGGAGATGTCTCACGCGTCTTTCCCTACCACCAAACCATTAGAGAGGACTATTAGCTCCCCGTATATTTTAAGTGTCCCCATGCCGCACAAATGCTGTTTATTTACAATTGTCTCTCGCCAATAGCATTGTCCATAAGTATCCCATTACTTATAGGCAATGCTATTGACCAGAGACAAATATTGACATGTTCATTGAGCTATCCCATGCCATGTTTCAGTCAGATTCAGTTGTCTGATTGATGGAGGGGCATTTTTATGGCACTGCTTTTGCAACCAGGAAAGATGCGAAGAGCAATAATTTTCTTTTCGTGAAAAGTCTTTTTCCTTATTTGAAGGAATGTTTACGAGGTGTTCGATTTGAGGATTCAACCATGCTATAAAGAGAGAGGTGGGGCGCCAGAACTTTTCTTTGAGGACGGCCTAAAAAATTAAGTTTTTCGGCGCGATAAGCGCATTCAATTATAAATGCGGATTGTGCTGAAAACATTCACTGTAATATTGATAAAAATTGACGAAATAATAAAAAAATATACTACCCTGCGTACATTTTATATCTCAGAAGATTGTAAACTCTTAAAGGTTAAACAATCGATTTTGAACAGATTCAGGTTTCGTGTGCATGGTGTGAGAAGAAATGTCAATGAATCTGGCTAACTCTTAACAATACGTAATAAATACTGTAACCCTTGTACTACGAATTTAAAAAGCAATATCCCGTTTTCTATCCAAGTGAGCAACATATGTCATAGATAAGGTAAATTTACCATTTGGGAGTGTTTTGACAAAAGGTTTTCAAGCTAAAATCTGGGTACCAGCCTTAGGGTGGAATATCAGCGGTAGGGTACACATACCAGCCGTAGGGTGGAATATGTATATGCTCCACACGTAGCAATCGACTTACTATAAACACACCTATTATTCTGGAAAACGTTATTCTCTAAAATAAATATTACATCGCATGGTGCAGGGTACAGCACTTTTCTTCATAACTCAACATTACACATTTGACAACACATATTTGTTCTTTTTATTTATGTTAATTTGTGTACAACGAGCACAGCGGAGTCTTGATTTTCCAAGTATTGGAAGATGATCCAATTGAGGAGATTCTAAGGACTTTTTAAACTAGCAGTAATTTTTAAATCTTAAGTGAAGCATAAAGGTCCCGTTAGAAGTCATAGGGTTAAACAACATAGAGCAAAGTAAAGAGCATGGAAATGCTGTATATAGCATATGCAGCAATTCTTGACAGCATTTCATCTCTGAGCACCATTCAGTCCCATAAACAGCATAATAATGATAATCCTGAAGCTTTTATTGATTATGGCTGTGTAGGCTGTAAGTTACCAAAACCTGAAACAGGAAATTAGGGATACTCATATCATATTAACGGCCTTGAAGCCGTTAATCACACCACCGGCAGTGTTACTGTTCTCCTCTGCTGAAGTTTATGTCAGCAGTTCTAAGATATTGTACATAACTGTCAAGAAAGGCCAAAACATTTAAACTTTCCGTTTGATCAGAACTTTTTCTACTAAAGGGGGTGTTTCTTTAGGAAATATCATAGCTGTGATCAAGCTTCTGAACCTTCTCGGTATTCAGATGTTTTGACGGTAGAAAGCCTTTTGTCATGAGTTTGAAAAAACTTAGGTATGTTTGAATAGAAGACCACAACTGTTTAATTTCAAATATATTATATATCTTCTTGAATTCTTGCTATATGTAACATTTATATCAATATGGTTGCTTTTATAAATGACTAATATTTTGTTGCATTACAGCTTGGCAAGAATGCGGCATCACATCCGTGTTAGCAATTTTAGGACTACTCTGTAAAGAACAAGCTCTCACAGTGCTGGCCATCTGCTGTATTTATGAACTCGTTAGTCCTAAGGTAAGTATTATTTAGATTTTCTTCTAAAGAGTATGGATTGCTTTATAAAGTCTTATGTTCTTAGGGATCTTAAACTATAAAAATACTTTTGAAGAATTACCTTCAAGTATTGTCAAGTACAGAAACAAAAGTCAAACGAAGGGTGTGCAAGATCCTTTTATTTAAACACAAAGAAAATAATATTGACTTAGCCTTGGGTTTATACAAACCAACACTTCGGGCTCAACGTAAATACGTAATGTTGACCTAAATCAAATGTATTAGCTTAGCCTAGTGGCTCCTGGGATAGGGTAATGCGCAGGAAAGGAGTATGAATTGCTTTATAAAATCTTATGTTTTTAGGGATCATAAACTATAAAAATACTTTTGAAGAATTACCTTCAAGTATTGTCAAGTACAGAAACAAAAGTCAAACGAAGGGTGTGCAAGATCCTTTTATTTAAACACAAAGAAAATAATATTGACTCAGCCTTGGGTTTATACAAACCAACACTTCGGGCTCAACGTAAATACGTAATGTTGTCAAATGTATTAGCTTAGCCTAATGGCTCCTGGGATAAGGTAATGCATAGGAAAGGAGTATGGATTGCTTTATAAAGTCTTATGTTCTTAGGGATCATAAACTAGGACTTTAAAAAGACTTTTGAAGAATTATCGTCAAGTATTGTCAAGTACAGAAACAAAATTCAAACGAAGGGTGTGCAAGAACCTTTTATTTGAACACAAAGAAAATAATATTGACTCAGCCTTGAGTTTATACAAACCAACACTTTGGGCGCAACGTAAATACGTAATGTTGACCTAAATCAAATGTATTAGCGTAGCCTAACGGCTCCCGGAATAAAGTAACGCGCAGGAAAGGCTCTAGGTTGTAGAAAACCGGCGAGACAAGACAAATGGCTAGAAGCACTCAACGCCACAGAAACAAATCGCTATTAAGTTATGGTACAACGTGGCCTCAAGTAGGCAGAACTCACTCTAAAGTAAACTTGCAAAACCTTCTCTTAAATAGTACTTCTTTCTCCTTCAATCTGAATAAACGCTCTCTATTTCATTTGAATTCTCTCATGAAAAGCGTGAGTAGTGACAAAAAGTAATTGAACATAAAATTAACTATTAGTTAAAAGCAAATAGATCCTCACAGCTTGAGTAATATAATTTTGAATTCCGCAAGTATTTATAACTGAAGCTTCTTGAAATAAGGGCAAACAATAAGCATGTAAAATTCAGTGTCCGGTTATTAAGGTCCCATTTATGGTTTTTTTAATTGCTGAAAGATTTTTACCTTACCTCATTGAAGATCTTTCAAGTATAGACTAAAACGAATGTTAAAATTTTGGGTCCTCTCGCATTAAACATATCCCATTGGCGAATATAGTCACATTTTAGTTTTCGGTAGAAAATGTTTACAGATTTCTTTACGACGGCGTAGACCATATAATTTACAATGTGTCCTTTCCCGCATAGAATTTCCGCTAGGTACGACTCGAGGTGGTGGCGAGCTGTTTCACGGCGCTTTTAATTTAGCCATTTAGCACTTCCTCGTGAGCGTTCTATATTTTGCGTTTGTTTGCCAATTTCTGCATCGACAAAACTGAATTTATGATTTTCTAATGGATACACCCAGATTGTTCAATTTCTTCTGTTTTATACTATTTCCAACAGTCGTAAAAAATGGTCGTTCATACTTTAATGTTCATTAAAGAAGACCATTAAAGTATAAAGAAAGAAGTATAGTGGCTCTACGATAGGGGACAATTGCAAGAAATGTTTGGCTCGTTTCGTGACAAAAGCCCACAAGCCCACCAGTGGCAGAGAGGTAAATTCTCGGAACACTATTAGTTAGGTCCGAGATTCGAATCCCGAGAGCGGGCTAGTTGCATGGGCGTTCTCCATGTCTAACGTGTATACGAACCAATTTCCCATAGAGAGTCCTCCCCAAAGGCCTTTCTAATGCTCCACGAAGCATCCCTCTCATAGGCAAATAGTCTCGAGGCTTTGCCGTAATCACATAGAAACCAAAAATAACCAAACCCAAAACTCCACTATAGAGACAATATTCTTCCAACAATATCTTTTGTGTCGCGTAGACACTCTTTCAGCGATCTTCGTAATGCATCCAACGCCGCCTTATTTCCTCCTCTTCTGCTGCCCCCAATCAGGATCGCAGATCTCCTGGCGATGATTCTTCCAGTCTACTACCATTTTGTCGGCCATTCATAGTTGCCTTTTGCAGAACTTGATCGATGTTATTTCTTTTATCCAGCAATATATAAAACGTAAAGCTGTTATGAAGGTTATTCGACTCCCTAAGTCCATAAATTTCGACCCGACTAAGTCCGTAAATTTCCTTTCAATAAATGGATTGCTGTGAAAGTTTGAATATCTGGCGTAAAACACTTATTTAAAACTACTTGACTTGCATAAATTTCAATTCTGCGACTTCTTTATATACAGTAATAAATCATGTAACATGCAGTAATAAATCATGTAATGCAGTAATGTCATGTGTGTCTGGCAATGTGTTCAGTTCTAATTAATAATTCATTTTAATAATGAAATACACTTCGATTGTATGATTAAAGATTGTGTTGATTAATTATGGCCAAGGGCAAAAGAACATTTTTGATACAGAAGGATGAATTTATGGGAGGTTTCTCACTAAATTCTCTAGTATTCTAGTTAAATGTCTGGGCTTAAATTTAAATTCGCGTCGAATTACTGTTCAGATATCTTAAGTTCTGAGGCAATGATGGTCCTTGATATGCCATCAAAAATAAGATAAAATAATTTTAAAAAAGTTAATTTTTGGACTTGATGAATCCTAGCGATGTACATTTTTTTCAGCTTTTCGTCTTTTTGTTTGATTGCTCATGTCTGGTGTGATTATTATCGGAAAATGATTGGTGTCGAAAATTATTGCTTCATAATGGTGAGTTACAGTCGAAATCTTTTTACAAGCTGACCACTGTTCGAGAAGTTAAAAATCTTATCAAGTCTTTTCTGCTTAAGAGTGTTTATTCCATTATGAAGATAATTGTTTTAAATTAAAAAGAAAAGCAGCCGTCATAAAGGTGTGTACAACCTATATGTCGCGGTGCTTGCCAATAGAATCCTTAATCAGAATAACAAACTAAATCCTTATTTGCATAGCTGATCCCTGACATAAATGCTACATCTTTATGAAGATTGCTTTTTGTAAGTTAAAACTGATCTGTATAAGGGTGTGAGCATCTTAATGCTCGGATACTATTATGAAAGTTTCTGTCTAGGAGAGCCGAATGCACAAAGGTACTGATACCTTTATGATTGGATGTCTTTATGTACACATTCCATGTTGACATAGATAGGTGTACGTTTATGTGCCGTGGAAGCTCCTAGCGTTGTCTTCCCATTTATTTGTTGGATGCTCAGTTGGCAGGGCCTGGAGGTATTTAATCGATACCTACGGGAATGTACAAGTGACGGCCTTGCTTCAGTCTGTAACTGTACTGCCTGTAGCCGATGGGCTTGGTTCTTATCTTGGATGTTCTTAAGTGTGTAGTATCTGTATACGTATGTAGTGTATAGTGTCTGAGGGCATTCATTGGCTAGCTGCAGGTCCTCACGAGTAGATTGATGATAGGATAAAAGGGGTGGGAGACCTCGGACTCAGCCCGCTCTGAGGAATTAGGGCAGGGCTGCACCTGATTGGGGTGGAGCTGGACAAATTGTGAAGGTCTGCCCCAATTTTGTCAGGTTATAACTAAGGTAACATACTGATATCCCACTTCTTTTACTTGTATCTGTTCTTCCTGTGGTCCACCTGGGTTATGATACCGGGACGTGAAATGATTATTGTGTTCAATCATTCTTTGGCAAAGACAAAATGATTATTGTGTTCAATCATTCTTTGGCAAAGACAAAATGATTATTGTGTTCAATCATTCTTTGGCAAAGACAAACCGGCAAAATTTAACTTGCTCTTTCTTTGGATATACAGGCTGAGTTTGATTGCTGGCCAGCGTGCCACTTGTCAGGCCGACGATGCCCTGGTAATAAAACAACAATCATTTTGTAGGTGGTCTAACTACCTACCATAAAGAAATAGTAATCTGTGAAATTAGTAATCTGCCAATAAGTAATAGTAATGTGTGAAAGAATTGGATCAGCATCTTCTGTTAAGGCAAAATATATACTTTCTGTTTGTAACAGAAATTGCTTTAACTCAGCAATTTACAAACTTTATGCACAATGCATTCATTGTTACACATAATCCATAGCAAGCTAATGTTTTTATCTTCTTGGATGTAGTATCTAATGCAAAGTACAATATCCTCTCTTCTTCCAAGGAAATGTTAGTCTATTTGACAGCAAAATGCATTCCTGCAGCGTAAATGCCGACTAGTCATAATACAGTCATACTGCCACGAATCTTAGACTCTTTACTTCGCTCTGTTTTTATCCGTCTTAAATTCAGTTTTTTTATATCTTTCGTCCAATGCGGCTAATTACTAAGACCTCTAGGCGCTAGATTCTGGTTCGTAATTGAACTTTTTTTTTTTTTTTTTTTTGTTTTTTTTTTTTTTTTTTTTTTGTTTTAGAACAGTTTTTCTTCCTTGTAAGCGAGAAAGCTCGCGATTCCAATTTGCTTCCGAGAGAGAAAAAGGAAGCTCGGATGAATTTCTTCTAATTTCTCTTTGATTCTTTGTGTGTTAGAGCGAGAATTTTTCAATTTAGAGTTCGTTTCCAATCGGATGAATTTTTTTCCATGATGCAATGGCTGCAAAATACAAAACTACTACTTTTCCTTTTTTTTTTTTTAATCATAGATGCTGTTTAGGTTTTTCTCGATATATATGACTCATTAAAATAAGGGCCGACTGATTAAGTAAAAGAAGGCTTCAGTATGAGCAATGAATTTGTGAATAATGAGAATAATTCCTAAACATATTTCAAAGGCGTTATATTTATTTATTTTGCAGCGTTCAGATAAAATAACCCGCATTAACTGGATTGTT